ATAATTGCAATGACGACTCCACCCCGGTGACGACTTCGCTCCGATCTCCCCTATTTGGAATTATACATACATATATGTCCATATATAATGATAGATGGACTTATATATAATTTTATATAAAGTATCAAATTTAATTCTTATATAATTACATATAATATATCATATATATTTATATATAATTATATATAATTATATATAATATTTTTTTTCCCGGGAATAGCAATAATCTAAATCTGATAGATTGATTCTTCGATCTACGTTTATTAAGTATTTTTTCAATTTACTATTGATAGGCACTATTTATCCTAAATTTATCTTTTTCTCACAAATAGAATTTATATGCATTTATTAATATTCTAATATATATATATATATATAGGTAGAAGCGTTCGTGGAATCAGCTGCTCAATATTATGGTTTGGAGATAATACGCATGCAACGACCGATTCAGTCCGCATTATCTACATTGCTGGAAGAAAAACATGATTTGAAAGCAGCTCTTATGGGTACAAGGAAAGGTGATCCAGGTTCCGAAAATTTACAAGCATTTACACCCACCGATCCGAGCTGGCCACAGTTGATGCGTATAAATCCTATCTTGCATTGGTCGTATAATCAAGTGTGGGCATTCTTATTAAAGCACAATATTCCTTATTGCTCACTTTATGATCAAGGATACACGAGTATCGGCAATAGAAATACTACGGTGCAAAATCCATTGTTAATGGATATTAATAACCCTTCATCTTATTTACCAGCGTATACTTTGACCGATAAATCTGCTGAGAGAGAAGGCAGAGAACATGATAAAAATAATATATGATTTTTTTATGATACGATTCCATAATTAGCGAACTAATAGATATTGTTATATATTAACTATTAACTAGTGTTATTAATGTATATTTAGTATTGTGTATGTATATATTAATTATTTTTCGAGATAAATAAAAAATTTTACTTTTAGGATTATATTAATTTTTTGTAGTATCTACACACAGATAACACATTTTTACAAATTATTATGAAATTTTTCCTATTTAAATTTATTATGGACACACATTATAACATAAGTATTTTTATACAATTTCTAAAAAAAAAAAAATAAATAAATAAATTATTTTTAATGAAAACTATTGAATATTCTTTTAATTCAAGAATTCTCAAAAACTGTTCAATCACAATCCACGCTTTATCAATAGAGATTCTGTTATTATAATACATAATTCGATTTAACTGACGTAACACAGCAGCATACATACGGTGACCATCAGCAAATTGAGGATTATCTTCAGTTGATCTTTGTCGGAAGCCATTTAAGTTTAGATTTGGATGGATTAAGGTTTCATGAATTTGTGGGATTGAAGTTCTATGATTACCGCAACGCATATAAAGATTCAACAATACAGAGAAATGAAGTAAAGCTAGACACTATCAAATCGACATGTTCAACGGAAGTATTCATTGGGAGGCAAGAATTCTATCAGCAGGATCACCACGATTGCTGGGATGGAATATCCCTGAGGAAGAATTGGTCTATATACCGGAACATTGGCTGATCTATCCCGAACCTAATCCCTCCCTTCACTATTTGCTGGCCATTGTATACATACTCTTCACTTTTGTAGCGCTACTCGGAAATGGACTGGTTATCTGGATATTTTGTTCGTAAGTTTCGCATACCATCAGTTGAATATTGACAATAATAATGTCTAATTTAGATAATAATGCTGTACGCTACAGATTTCAACAATAAACAAAATCTTTTAAGAATTAATCTTTATTTTCCCAGTTATCATCTAGTTGTGACTCTTTCTTCAGTACATTAGAATTTAAAAATGTCCAAACTTAGCATGTGTTATTATGTCGAACGTTGTTTATATTTTTTATAAAAAATTTTTTTTGTTTTTAGAGCCAAATCACTAAGAACTCCTTCAAATTTGTTTGTGGTAAATCTGGCATTTTGCGATTTCTTCATGATGCTCAAGACACCTATATTTATATATAATTCCTTTAATACCGGATTTGCTACGGGTCATTTAGGATGTCAGATTTTTGCCTTTATTGGATCGCTTAGTGGAATTGGAGCTGGTATGACAAACGCTGCCATTGCATATGACAGATACAGGTACTGCAGAGAATCCTCATTAAGTAAAACAATTAATTAATACACT